GAACTAATCTTATTATCATAATGGATCCATTTTCTTGTATTGAATCAGGTATTACTCTGGGATTGAGTTTTAGACTATTTTACCTAACTCCACAACAGAAAACATATGAGTTATTATTGTCCCAGTTATAGCAATTGGATTAACGCATTTTTGACTGTTGAATATTCTCCAAATTCGATGAAATAACACAATAAGGAAATGTCTGGGTTCTTATGGCCCCAAATGCCACCCTCACCCCAAGCTCCAACCTGTTGGGTAACACAAGAGAAAAGGGAAAAGACAGCCAAAGACAATGCAAAAAGGATATAAGAAAACACACACCTCACTGTTCCCAAAGCCATGTCCTGCAAGGAATACAGTGATGATCACAAATAAAAAGAAACACAAAATGTTGGCAAAGTTGGGGCAAAGAGAAGAGAGAAAAAGCTGGGTATTAAATTGACAATATAATTGATATGTCTCCAAAACAAACAATGGGGCCTGGTCTACTGGCTGCTGGCTAATATTTACCTTAATCAATGCAAATAAGTCTGCGTACAAAATAAACCTGCACTTTCCAACTATGCAAACAGTTAACAGTTAGCTGGCTACTAGCCTATTGCTATACAAACAAAACCTACCACTTTACATTTGAGGCACTGCTATCATGTCCCAGAGGCTCCTCAAACCCAAACCAAAAATATCACCTCTCTTCCCCTCAGTTAGCTGCTCCTCTTTCTATATTGTTAAATATTCACCAGTATCCATCTAATCTTCTAGCAGGTCTTCAAACTAGTTATTGTTTAAAAAAAAAAATAGTATCTATTTCCATTTCTTTGTCTTTTTAAATCAATATATAAATACTCATTTAGGTATGGTCGTATTTTAAAATGGAGCACTTTAGGAGCCCCCATATGAATATCAAAGTGAACATGCTTGATAATGGATGCAGAAAAATGTGCCATTACTTTGTCTTTTCAACAAATGGTGCTAGAACAGTTGGCTATCCATTTGGGAAAAAAAAATTGAACTTCAATCTATACCTTGCACTAAATACAAAACTAATTCAAACTGATCCCAGACAGAAGTATAAAATCTAAAACTAAAAAACGAAGAGAAAACCTTGTTGACCTTGGATTAGGCAAAGACCTCTTATTCTTAGGCTCAGTACCAAAAGCACAATCCATAAAAGAACAAATTGAAAAACTGGACTTTATCAAAATTAAAACCTTCTGCTCTATCAAAGACACTGTTAAGAGAAAAGACAAGTCAAAGACTGGGGAAAAAACATTTTCAAATCACATATCTAATAAAGAACTTGTATCGAGAATATATACAGAACTCTCAGGGTGCCTGGGTGGCTCAGTCATTAAGCATCTGCCTTCGGCTCAGGTCATGATCCCAGGGTCCTTGATCGAGCCCCACATCAGGCTCCCTGCTCTCCGGGGAAGCCTGCTTCTCCCTCTCCCGCTCCCCCTGCTTGTGTTCCCTCTCTGGCTGTCTCTCTGTCAAATAAACAAAATCTTAAAAAAAAAAGAGAAAGAGAGAGAGAAAACTCTCAAAACTCAGTAATAAAACAACCCAGTAAAAAAAAAAAAAGACTTAAACAGACATTTCAACAAGGAACATATATAGATATGCAAATAAGTACATGAAAAAGTGCTCAACATCCATAGTCACTAGGGAAATGCAAATTTAAAACACAGTATATACCTCTACACACCTATTAGAATGCCTAAAACTGACCAAACCAAGTGCTGACAAAGATGTGGAGAAACGAACATTCATACACGGTTGGTTGAATGTAAAATGGAACAACTGTATTGGAAAATGGATTCGCAATTTTTTTAAAAAAGTTAAACATACAAGTACCATATGATCCAGCCATTCCACTCCTAGACATTTACCCAAGAGAAAGGAGGGCATGTGCCCACACAAAGACTTATATACAAATGTTTATATATCAGTTTTATTTTTATGAATGAAAACCCTTAAACAATCCAAATATCCATCAACAGGTAAATGGATGAACAAATAATGGCACATTCATACAATGGAATACTACCCAGAAATAAAAAGGAACAAACTACTGATATATACTACAACATGGATGACTCTAAAATAACTCAGCTGAATAAAAGCTAGGCAAAAAAGCATACTGCATGCTTTAATTTATATAAAACTCTAGATATGCAAACTATTTTTTAGTGAAACAAACTAGGAGACAAGCGGGAGGATTACAAAGGAGCACTAGGAAACTTCAGGGGAGTGTGTATACATGTATCAAAATTCATCAAACTGCACCCTTTAAAATGTGTAATTTATTTTATGTCAATTATATCTCAATAAATTATTAAAATTGTTAACAAAAAGTAAATTTTCTGTTCTTTAGAAGATTTCTTAAGAAAGGATTAAAACTACAAAATATCAGCACTTGCCTAAAAAAGAAAATGAAAAATTAAAATTAGGGGGCACCTGGGTGGCTCAGTAGATGGAGCACGTGACTCTTGATGTTGGGGTTGTAAGTTCAAGTCCCACGCTGGATGCAGAGATTACTTTAAAAAAAACAATCTTAGGGGCGCCTGGGTGGCTCAGTCAGTTAAGCGTCTGCCTTCGGCTCAGGTCATGATCTCAGAGTCCTGGAATGGAGCTCCGTGTGGGTCTCTCTGATTAGCAGGGAGTCTGCTTCTCCCTCTCATTCTCCCTCTGTGTTCTCCCCCTCTCTCTCTCAAATAAATAAATAAAATCTTTTTAAAAAAATTAAAATCTTAAAAAAATTTTTTTTAATTAGGTCCAATGGATTCTGAGGGTATACCAATGGTTAGAACACACCAAACATAAAACAAATACATACACACACATCACCATGATTTTATAATCCTTTAAAAAAATTTATGACTTTAGGAGAATGTTAGGGAATCAACTCATTTTTTGAACATTGGTATATGAAGAGGAACAATCAAGCACTGTTATGCCTTTCCTATGACCTTACCTCTGGGTAACCAAATAGTATATTCGAGGGTCTCTTTATAGCTAATAAATGAAACAACAATTAGAATGTGTTCATTTGAACCCCTACTGAATCAACAAATGTAGGTATGGCATATATACAGCTGCTAATTTCACAAAAAGAGATAACCATATATATACTTCCTGATCAAAGAACACACCATTGTCTATAATAATCCCACCAAATTTTTTCTCAAAATAAACTCAAATGAAGTCTGATCAAATCTCTAAGTCCAACTAATTTACTGGAAATAGAGGACAGAGAATACATTTTTACCTTTAATTTTTATGAAAGATGCTTGGGACATCAACCAGTTGCGATGTACAATGTTGACTGAAAGTACTTACAACTTTAAAATATATAAACAAAAAACTCAGATCACTGGAAATCTGAACGCTAATTAGACATTCAATTCCCTATTAAGGAATTATTGTTTGTTTTTAGATGTGATAACATAGTTATGTTTAAAAAAGCAGAGAGAAAAAAAAAGACCTTGTCTTTTAAAGACACATACTAATGTATTTATAAATTACAAGTTATGATTCTGGAATCTGTTTCCAAATAATACAAGGATGGAGAAGTGAGTGGGAATACAAAAGAAATAACACTGGGGCGCCTGGGTGGCTCAGTCGGTTAAGCATCTGACTCGATTTTGGCTCAGGTCATGATCTCAGGGTCGTGAGCCCTGCCTTGGGCTCCACAATAGCTCAAAGTCTCCTTGGGATTCTCTCTCCCTCTGCCCCTCCCCCCACTTGTCCGTACGCTCGCTCTAAAATAAATAAATAATAGGGTGGCTCAGTCAGTTAAGCCTCTGCCTTCGGCTCAGGTCATAATCTCAAGGTCCTGGAATGGAGCCCTGCGTCAGGCTCCCTCCTTCTTCCTCTCCCTCTGCCTCTACCCGTACCCCCAACCCCTGCTCTTTCTCTTTCTCTAATAAATAAAATCTTAAAAAATAACATTTATCCATGAGTTGGTCGTTTTGGGTGATGAGTAGAAAATAGTCCAATATTCCATTTGGTCTGCTCTGGTATACTTGAATTTTGTATAATGAAAAGTAATAAAAAATAAGATACCTTGTTGAATTTACTTTGTAACTATTTTATGTATATCGATATAAAAATCCTAAATAAATAGGTCACATTTCTTCTCTTATGTTGTCCTTTTTGGTTAGAAATATAAACTGGGTAACCATCTTCCTTTATTCTCTAAAAGTTTATATAGATATCAACAATTTGTTTCATAAAGGTTTAGTTGAATTTTTAAAACCCTCTGGGCCTGGCAGCTACACGTTGAAGGGAGGATTCCTACACATAACAATGTTTTATCTTTTGACTTGTAATTACGTAGCACTGTAGGCTGCATACTGATTATCTGCCATTTACTGCAACTTGCTTCATGACTTGGTATGTGATCAAATTTCATAAATGTTCTATGTACTTAAAAATGTCTATGATCTAGGGCGTCTGGGTGGCTCTGTCGGTTGAGCGTCTATCTTCAGCTCAGGTCATGATCCCAGGGTCCTGGATTGGGTCCCAGGCTGGGTTCCCTGCTCAGCAGGGGAGCTTGCTTCTCCCTCTCCCCCTGCCTGCTGCTTCCCCTGCTTGTGTGTACGCTCTCTCTCTGTCAAATAAATAAAAATCTTAAAAAATAAAATAATTTTAAAAATGTATATGATCTAACAATTAGGTGCAGGGTTCTATAACTGTCCATTGGCTCAAACTTGTTAACTCTTTTATTCAAATCTTCCATTTTACTAATATTTACTTAGTATATTATCAAAAGGTAAATAAAATATTAACAGCATTTATCATTCTAAATGTCAATTTTTAAATATATATTGAAGTTATACATACACACAAATGCATGACTTATCTTTTCCTAGAAATATTTTAGTTTTCCTAATGGATTATTTCATTCCTACTGAATGAATTTCTTAATCCCTAATAATGTTTTTGTCTTAATCTAAATTTTCATAAAATTAATATACCTATGACAGCTATTTTTTTTTTTGTAGGGGAAAGCACAAATGCAGTCCCCCACTACCACAAATTATGCAGTCGAGTTTCCCACATTTGGGGAAATCACAGGGGTCAGAACATCCAGAGTAAAATGGATAAGCCTCACCCTGGGAAAACCACCTTCGTGATCATGGCATCTCCCCTGCCAGTAAGTATGACAGCTATGTTTTGGTTGCTTGTGTTAAAATGTTTTATTAGAGCCATTAATCATAAGCAGCAGTGTAATTATTTATTTGCTCTCTTTAAAGAAATCCTATCCTGGGGTCTCCATGTTTTCTCTGGCAAGTGTACTCTGTTTACATTTCTCCTGGTAACTGATAAGAGTTAAAATTATTTTCACCATCTTATTTTTAATATACTATGCCTATATACTATGACTTTACTTTTCCTTTCTTTAACTTTTCCTTAAACTTTTAACAAGATTACCTGAAAGTAGAATTAGTATTATTACTTAAAAAAAAAAAAAAAGAATTAGTATTATTATTCTTTTTCTAAAGAATAAGACCTCAGAAAGCTTTAATCAGTACCCATCCTGTCTTATGCATTATTTTCTAGGACAATATTTAATTCTTGTGCATTTAAGTTATTTATTGTATTGTTTTATACAATCAGGTTGCCAGATTAGGCTACATGTTTACCAATTCTTTTCTTTTTTTAAGATTTGTTTATTTATTTGGACAGAGAGAGCACAAGAAGAGGGAGAGGGAAAAGCAGGCTCCCCGGGGAATGGGGAGTCCAATGCGGGGCTCAATCCCAGAACCCTGGGATCATGACCTGAGCTGAAGGCAGACACTTAATCAACTGAGCCATCCAGGTGTCCCATGTTTACCAATTCTTTAACTTTGCATCTTGCATGCTCTTCTACATCCTGGGTCCAATTTCCTCTTATAAAGTAGAGCTACCTTCAGTAGTTCTTTCAGTAATGGTCTATGAGTAGTAAACTTTCCATCTCCATCTGCAAAATACATTTATTTCTCCATCACTTTAGAATAACAGTTTTGAGAGTTATTTTATTTTTCCTTGGCACTTTGAAGATATTAATCTATTGGTTTTGGCCTCTATTCATCCTCATGGTAGTAAGTATGCTAAACTAACTGCCATCCAGTTATAATTGACTTGTCTTTCTCTCTGGTTCCTTTATTACTTTCTCTTTACATTAAATGCCCAGAAATTTCACTAGAATGTACTGAATTGTCCATTTATATTCCTTCTACTTATAGATTATTTATTTTTAGGCACAGTCACATAAAAGAGAAAAAGTGATTTAAGAATGACTATTTTCTTAATTCTCCCAGAGAGTATTCAAAACTAACTCCATGCTAAAGGTATGAGACATTAATTCACTACATTTAGTGGATGACCTAGGGTAGTGGTTCTCAAACTTGAGCATGCAAAACACCTGGAGAACTGGACTCTACCCATGGTTTAAGAATCACTGTCTTGGGGGGCGCCTGGGTGGCTCAGATGGTTAAGCGTCTGCTTTCGGCTCAGGTCATGATCCAGGGTCCTGGGATCAAGTCCCGCATTGGGCTCCCTGCTCAGCGGGGAGCCTGTTTCCCCCTCTGCCTGCCACTCTCCCTGCTTGTGCTAATAAATAAATAAAATCTTAAAAAAAAAAAAAAGAATCACCGTCTGGGGGCACCTGGGTGGCTCAGCTGGTTGAGTGTCTGCCCTCGGCTCAGGTCATGATCCAGCTCAAGTCACGATCCCGTGGTCCTAGGATCAAGCCCCATGTCAGGCTCCCTGCTAAGTGGGGAGTCTTCTCCCTCTCCCCTTGACTCTCCCCCGGCTTGTGCTCACTCTGTCTTGCTCACTTTCTCTCTCTCAAATAAATAAATAAAATCTTGGGGCGCCTGGGTGGCTCAGTCGTTAGGCGTCTGCCTTCGGCTCAGGTCATGATCCCAGGGTCCTGGGATCGAGCCCCACATGGGGCTCCCTGCTCTGTGGGAAGCCTGCTTCTCCCTCTCCCACTCCCCCTGCTTGTGTTCCCTCTCTCGCTGTGTCTCTCTCTGTCAAATAAATAAATAAAATCTTTTAAATAAATAAATAAATAAAATCTTGAAAAAGAATCACTGTCTTAGGGATTGGGATAATTTATCTCATGGAACCCCAGTTGATAAGGACCACAGGGATTTGTCCTCCTTCTTAAATCTAGAGATTAATATTTCTCATCAATTCTAAACAGAATTTAGCAGAACTGCTCCAGTTCATTCTTCACACAGCCCTCAGGCTAAAAACAAAGCTTGTTCATATCACCTCCCCTACCCAAAATTGTTTACTGGCTCCTCTACACCTATAAGAGCAGTTCTTTATGGGGGGGGGGGATACATGGATGGGCTTTAAAGTACATGCAAATTTTTGAGTATTTACATTATGTTACACTTATTTTTTGTAATACCACCAATAGGTCTGTGAGATCACTTAGATAAGTACATTAAAAATTGCTGACTTAAATTCAAATGAGTCAGTATGGCACATAAAGCTTTTCCTGATCCATGCCTGCCTAACCTACCCTTGTACCATCCTATACACACCATGCTTTCAAAATTTCTTCACTGTACACATACTACCTCCACCTAGAAAAGAATGCCCAATAGGCCTCTAACAGGCCTAATTAACTACTCCCCAAGAGGTCCAATATCACCTCCTCCAGGAAACCTTCTCAACCCACTTGAAAGTTAGTTGCTCCCCTTTCTATTCTCTCTCAGCATCTTATACAAACATCCACGATTACATTTCACCCTTTGAATTAGTGGTCTACAAAACTATCATCCTTTATAAGAATGAGTTATCTCCAGTAACTAAGAACTTAATCATTATCTTTAAATCCTCATAGTAGATACATTATTATGTCTGTTTTCATGTAGATTTTCAAGGGAACCAGAGATTCAATGGGAGTAAACGGCACCTAATCTAGTTTTGTTCTCACATTTCTCCACAAAATACTTCAAAGCATCAATGCAATGATTATGCCCCTACAAGGTCTGACGCCTACACTGTCAATACAACTAAGAGAAAAACATCGAAGGGATAATCAAATCTAAGAATTCAAAAACACTGGAGGGGTAATCAAATCTGAGAGTTCAAAAACTTTCATTTAAAAAAAAAAGGACTCTCATTTTAATTCCTACACAAGTCTACTTGCTTTATCTGTTTATTTAATACACAAAAGTGCATACTACAAATTCTGAGAAGATTCCTTGTCACTATTTGTTAGAACACCCAATAAAATCCTTTTACAAAAGTATACAAAATCTGTACACAAAAGTAAATGGCTCTTTCCAGGGACAGAAGGTGGAAATGTGAGAAGCTGAAGACATCTTTCGCTTATTACTTTTCAAATATATCAGTTTATCATCTGAATTTTTTTCATAATATATCACTTTAGAAACGAGCAAACCATAATGGAAAGTTTAAAAAAAAAAAAGCCATATCCTATGTCATGCTATTAAGAAAACAGCTTAATTATGTAATCATTTTAATATTATTTCTTACCAGATTTAAGACCTGAAATTTTGAAGATGGCACTTGGTTTCCCATTTGTGACAAATCCTAGGAGTTGCCATACAGGCATTCCATTTGAATCAGGATAGGAAAAGTAGACAGATCCTCCCATTCCCTCAGGAAATGGGACTGTTCCCAGCATAAAAACCACAACATGGTTGATACTTTCATAATCAGGCAAGTCAAAAACAAATTTATCCTCTGCCACTTGCTGTGCAGCTGTTTGCACCTAGAAAATAAGAAACTCGACTTAGTTCAATAGTTTGATGAGTTTCTATAACCCTTATAGCATTCCTGTAAGCTGTTATCAAGTATAGTCAATTATAGTCATTATACCCAGTATAACCTTGGGTTAATCTGATAGTCTATATGGAATTTCCAAATATACCAGTGTTAAATTTAAAAAGAAAATCCAAATATATATATATTCAGCCTTAAAATGATCATTTAATGAATGCAACCTTTAAAAAAATAGAACTAAATTATTTCAGAAGTGCCCTGAAAGGAATTTACTTATATAAGTAAATCACTACAGCTTCAGAATATTAAAAAAAATGAAAGGTTGTGCAAAATACACCACCAAATCCTTATCCTCAGTATGCAAAGTAGAGGAAATTAAAATGGGTAAGCAGTCCAGAAAGAATTAGTTAATCCTCATTGTTTGCAGATTCCATATTTATTAATTTGCTCACTCACTAAAATTTATTTGTAAGCACAAAATCAATATTCATTGCACTCTGGTGGTCATTCATGGACATGTTCCTGAGCAGAGCAGCAAAAATTTTGAGTTGCCTAATGCACAGGTTCCCAGCTGAGGTGGAGAAAAGTTAGCTATGCCTTCTTTCTTTCCGCTCTCATGCTGTACACAGCTGTTTTTCCCAGTTAATTTAGTGCCATGTTTGTTTGTATTTTGTGCTTTTTGTTGGTGATTCTTATGTTTAAAATGGCCAAGCGGAAATGCTGGCTAATATTCCTAAATCTGAAATGGTTATGTGCCTTACTGAGAAAATATGCTATATAAGTTTCATTCAGAAATGAGTTATGGTGTTATTGGCTGTTAAGTTCGATGTTTATGAATCAACAACACATAATTAAATAAGAGTCTTTAAACAGAAACATACAGACAACAAGGTTATGTAATGATAGGCTGATAAAAACTGTCATCAGAGGCTTGAAAAAAACCTAACTCTGTATTTCCCCTAAGGGCAACGATTCAGTATTTACCAAATGAGGAACTGAGTGTTCACAATGACTTCATAGAACCGAACTACCGTGAATAATGAGAATCAACTGTATATAAAAAGCAAAAATCCTACCTTGAATGTGCAAAGTGGGAACCTGTAAAAGTTTCCTCTTGACTCATTTCATAATCTAATTTTCTCTGCTAGAATTGAATGTCAGTTTCTAGAATGAGATCTTATTTTGAAGTTTGAGAAGTTTGAGAAATCGACTTCCAAAGAGAAAATTCCTTTTATCCACTTTCAGAAAATTAATGATTAATTGCATTATCACATCCATTAGCAAAAATAAGTATTAATTCTGAGGGCACTCAGGTCAAAAGGCTGTCAAGAGTTTACATGATGCACAGTTTTTTGGTTTTCTTTTTAATTGCTATTGCCCCTCTATTCACCAAAACACCAAATCTGAATTAC